AAAAATTATTTTATCTCAGTATTGCTTTAAGAAAATTCTGAGATATATAAAGTTCTTATATTTCATCAGTATGTGCAAACACACACACACACACACACACACACGGTATGGTCACTATATTTTGCTTCTACTATTACTATCACATATCGTCTTGTGTTAAGTTATTCAGGCTAGCTATTATATTATTAATACTCCTTCCCATTTTAATTTCAGCAGTTTCTGGCCTTTTTTCTAATCTTTTTGCTAAAGTTTGGCCACCATCATCAGCATCTCAGCTGTAGGTAAGTTCTTGAAGGGTAGCTTCACTTGCCACCCTGCTTAGCTCTTCAGTCTGTCTGCTATTGCATCCAGTTTAATTTGCCACTTGTTTTTGGTTTGCTAATCAGATTAGTTGGTTAACAGCTGAATAAGACTCCAAAAAAAACAGTATTGGCAAATTATCTTAGTTTAAATATATACGCAATGCACACACATGCACACATACACATACATTAGTGTGCATTACTAGTGATTTTCCACTTGTGCTTTAAACTTGAAAGAAAATCTATTTTCTGTAACGTGTCATAGGTTACTGAATTTATTATACCTTCCAGTTTTTTTTTAAATTTGTTACAAGCTAACACTACAGTTTACTTATTTTAAACTGAAGATGCTAACAGTCTTTTAAGAATTGACTTTGAGATAAAGTTTATTATTATATTTTGTGTAGACTGAATAAAATTTAGTCAATACATTGCAATTGTTCAAAAAATTCTAATTCTATTTATTTTTTGCCTTAGAATATTAAGCTTTTCTTATTTTAAGAGCTTGAAATGGATACTGTAAAGAAAAACAAATGAATGTTTAAGCTTGTGAAATTTTATTCATTGCAATTTGACCATTGTTCATAAGTGAGGCTCAACCCTTTCTTTTATAATTGAGTAGTTTGAGAGGGAAACAACTATGGTTGCCTTCACCACAGTTATGCTTTTTTTTTCTTTCTTTTTTCCTGCATTTCATTGCCTGCTCTAGTAATCTATTCAATCACATTTTGATGTAGGCTTTCTTTGCATTTTTTATTCCTTCTAGCTTTCATCCATGTGAATATTTTACATACAACACTTGTAGAACATATAAAACAAAAATAGTTCAATAACATTAAGTAAAATTTTGACATATCTGACTTTTCATAGTTTTTTCCCCACTAATTGTTAAAATTGCATTCTTAATGACAAAACAAACTAACATTAACTTTCATGAATTTTGGAGACTAGTATTCTCACCAGTTTGAGCTGATGCCTTTCCACTTTTTCAGAATAGGATTTGATTATAGATATTTCTATATGTGTATCAGATTCCTGCAGGCAATATTATTACATCTGAGTAGGTCAGCACATTAACACACAAGCTAATTTTCTCAAATGCTTTTGGTACTCTCCACCTGAAAGTTGTTGTAGATTATTGCAGTGGTTTATTTAATTAGTGTTGAACTCTGTACTATGTTAGCTTCTGCATCTTTCACCTTATGTATCCTTGAGTGAAGTTACTTATCTTTTTTAATATCATCACAAAGAGGGTGATGATCTCAGTTTTTTTTACATTTGGCTTTACATCATTCCACAGTATCATTTTAGACTGGCTTTTCACTTCATTTAGTCTAATTTGTAGATGATTCACTTAGTTTCTCCCTTATATTTTCTATAATAACTGCTCATCATACTATACAATTTTGGGACATAAATATCACAAGTACTCTAACTTTTATGAGGTAATTACATTGAGTAGTCATATACTTTAGATTATTTCATGGCAGTTTATGTAGATTTATAGTTTGCATTCTCCAAGTTTGTTCTATCTGAAATACCTGATGTTGAGATATTTGTTCTTTAGAATGATACCAAATTTTTGGTTGAATTCATGCTGTAGGGTGTAACTTTTGCCTAGCTCTTTCTTCTCACACTTGTTTTAATATTCAAGCCATATCTATTTTGGCTTTCTATAAAGTTTAAAAGTAAATAAAAATATCTTATCAGCAGGACCTCAAGAAGAAAAATCTTTTTTTCCTTCCTTCCTTCTCTTCAAAGTGGACTTTTCTTGATGCACATGTTGATTTACTAAAAATATATAACTCTGTCATCTAACTCATAAATGTGACTTGATATCTAGATACCGAATTTACTTTATTCAGATTATTGTCCTCATCTTTGTCACCATATTATAACGTTTTGGCCGTTGTATGCTCTGGTGTCAAACTGAAACCTTTATTTCGCTCACTTATTTCCACATGCCATGTCTAATGCATGTCGGTTATCAGTTATCTCCTGTTAATTCCCCTCTTCAAGTTCTCCACTGCCTTAACCAGGTATTGAACTCACACACTTTGGGTCCTGTCACTAAATCTAACTAACGCCTTTATCCACTGTGCCATGTGTCCTTGAGGACATGTGTGTATGAATTTCTGGATATTATAAACCTAATGTCTTCAGCAACATTTTTTTACCAGTGCTCATATTGCAATTTTTGCTGTTATTATTGCTTTTCTCTGGCATTCCTTATTACTGGTTCCCATATTGTATTCATTTCTATGTTTGGTTGGCTCAGGAAATTTTTGTGGCCTAGCATATGTGCTGATTCCTTAAGTTTATGAATTTTCCAATGATGTTCTGTCTTTGATCTCGACCTGATCTCACAGAGGGCAGTGATCTCCCTTTTCTCTCCATATGTGGTCAGCCACTCCTGATTTTTCCACTTCCCCTCATGTTACAGCTTTCTGGTGTTCTTGAAGCCTTACCTTAAGGGGGCAGCTTGTCTCCCCTTTATATTTCTTTCCACAACTGCACGGGACAGTGTACACACAGTTTTTAGTCATGTTCTCCTCTATTGCAGGGGGTTCTTACTCAGGAGAGATATCTGCGAAGTGTCGTCCAGCTTTTGAAGGTTGTCCTGATGTTATATGGACCGCAGATCCTTTGTATTTTCTCTGATAACCCCTTCAAATAAGGCAGGCAGACTGTTTTCCGAGTGTTGTTGTTGTTCTCCTTTTGTACCCGCCTATCCCAGATTTTGGGGGCTGCTGCCATATACCCAGGGTAGTTGTTACGTTTTAGGGTACTACTTATACTGACCAATTCTAAAAAATGTTTGAAGACATTAGGTTTATAATACCCAGAAATTCATACGCAGATGTCCTCAAGGACGCATGCACAGTGGATAAAGGCATTAGTTCGATCCAGTGACAGGACCCAAAGAGTGTGAGTTCAATACCTGGAGAACTTGGAGAAGGGAATTAACAGGAGATAACTGACAACTGACATGCATTAGCCATGGCATGTGGAACTAGAACAGTGTACACCAGTGAGCAAAATAAAGTTTGAGATTCCAACCACCTGAAGACAATGGCTGAAATGTAATAAATATGGTGACAAAGATGTGGACAATAGTCCGAATAATGTAAATAATACCTCATCTCCGAAATATAGACAGATATCTAGATGTTTAGATGTCTGTAATAGGAAACCTGCTTCACTGAATGAGGTAGCTGAAAACACATTGGACAAAATGTAGAGATCAATTTTTAGAATAGTGTTGACTAACCACAGAATTTCATGCAATCTTTGTCAGTAATGCAGAAATTATATGAAATTTTGAGCTTTCCATATTTAACCTACATTTCTTTTAATTAAACTTTTAAAACTATTTGAGCAACCTTTCTTTGTAATTGTTAATTGGCTTTAACCCTTTGAACCCTGCACCTCTGATGAGTACAGATCACTCACTTTGGACCTCTGTTGTCCATGACTCTGACAGGCACACCGGATGCCTGGGTATATACACTTTCATACAGCAGCCTGGTTCAAAGGATTATGTTAGTAATTTTTTTATCTCCCATGGTAAGATCTTATTAAATGGAAAACTGCATCAAAAGGCTTTCATGTGTAGCTGAAATGTTGTAATGTCTTGTTTTGATTTTCATTTTTACTCAATTTAGTTAAATTTCTTTGTTTTATTTGGCTAAACCAAATGTATTTTATTGTTAGAACATTTTAAAAAAGCATCCTCACTTTTCATTATCTTCTCTTCTAATGTGAATAAGCCTGTTTTGTGTATTCTTGTAATTTCTTCTGGTTTCATACAACTCTCAGAGAGAACTTTCCTTAATCCATTTTATCAATAAGTTTATTGTACTTTCTCCTCTCTGCTTAGAATGATTTTCATTAGAACTTAACTATTGAATTTTTGCTGGTGCATTTCAGTTGTTTGGCTTTTGCTTCCATATCAACTGTATGTATATATATATATATATATATATATATATGTGTGTGTGTGTGTGTGTAAAATATATATATATATATATATATATATGAGAGAGGGGGTGAATTAGGTGGTTATGGTAGAATTTGGCCAGGTGTTTAGATATATTGGCATATTGTTCTGCCCTTATGTATTCTACAGGAATGGGGAATGAGACTATCTTTGATATAATTCACTGATTTATTTTGCTGCAACTTCTATTTTCCTTGTTTCTGTCTAGTTAGTTTATGAAATAGTAGAATGTGTCTGCATATTAGAAAACTTCATTTTATATTTTATTTAATTGTATTTATTTTGTTGACTAGAATCAGAATCTTGCAAACATTAAAATAATTTAAATGTTTTTCCCACCCTTTTCTTTCTTTTGTGTGTGTGTGTGTGTGTGTGTGTACACTTATTTTTATTTACACTTAAATATTTAGTGTGAAAGTTTAGTTTTTGTTTTGTTTTTCTTTTTTTTTCTTTTTTGTTGTTCCTCTTTACATCACCCCCACCCCACTACCACCACCACCGTTCCTTATTGCTGCTTAATCCTCTAGCTGAAGACCAAGTGAAACCTTGCCTCCTACTGGAGTGTTAAGATTGAAAGGAAAAAAGACAAAGAAAAAAAAAGGATCTGTTCCAAATTTCAAGTTGCTTTCATGTGATCTTTTCACTACCTCTAATTTTGGCTTTTTATTTTACCCACATATGGCTGTCACATCCTCCAGTAGTGAGAGAATCTGTTGATAGTAGTGTGCGATATACCCCCCCTGCTTGTGTTCATGGATGTATAAGATGTCCAACAACCCAGGTAAATCAGAGAAAATCGGTAAGTTTGCAGGTATGTCAGATTATTCTATGCGTTAGTATCTTAATTCTGATCTCCTGATTGTAGAACATTTACTTTTCACAATGTTTGTGTCTGGTGGTTTGGCGGACAGAACTCTGTTTTCATGATCCAACAAGGCTGATTCTATTCTGAAATGAAAGTATTATTCACTCAGATCAGTGGTTTTGTTTTCCTTTTCTAAAATTAAAATTTTGGAGGCATTATTACTGTAACTGTTTGAATGGTTGGTTTAAGGACATTATTAAAAACTGAGTTTTCACTTTGGTACTTAAACTGTATTTTCAGTTATGAGATATTCTTCTATATTCACTTTAAATGCTACTTGTAGTAAACTTACTTAACAATTAGGGTGTTTGGTTTATTCCTTTGCTTTATTTTCTTGAAACTTGTCAAAAAATTACATTTGACTTTATTAGTTGGTTTGAATGTTTGAACAAATATGTTTATAATTATAAATGAAGCTTCGAAATAAATACTTTTCTAATGGGTATTAAACTGTTTAATACTTATTAGAAACACTTATATTCTAAGATGGTTAATATTCTCAATGATAAAAATAACAAATTTTTTTTCTCTTTTTTTATTTAACACTTATTTACCTTACTTTTTGTGCGACAAATAAAATTTCCTTGGTTGTTTCTACCAGTATGTTATGTATTATATTTAAACCTTTATAGCAAATCATTTTCTCAGTATAAAAATGCATACTATCTTTTATTCTACTGGGAATTCATCAGTAGTGCAAGCCTAATTATCTTATAATAAACTATAACATGATTGATTTAAAAAATTATGTGGAAACAGTTTTGTCTGATGTGCTGTAGAACATAAATTTTGAGAGGAAAAACATTTTCTAAATATTGATAATGATACAATAGAAATTGTAATTTGCATGATGTTAAGTCCAAGAACTTAAAACAAATTATAAATAATATTGAATTACACCAATGTTCATTTATGTATTTCATGTTTCCTTTTCAATGTGAATTCAATAAAAACGTTTATATATAATTTAGAAATTGAAAATTGAGTTAATTATCACACAATTGTCTCAAAAATAGAATTCATTAAGTTTCTCCTACTCTTAGGTTCATAGGTACAAATTAATGATGATGATTTTTGTTTTGCATTTCTTCTTTGCATGAAACTATTCTAGTTTGTATAATTATTTTTTCTATATTATCTATTATGAAATGGTAATTGGAAATGCTTAGTTTGACAGAATGTATTTTTTGTTTTTGTTTTGTTTTGTTTTTTTTTCCATTTCCTTTTAATTTGATGCTTATTTAATTTATAGTTCTTGCTTAAATCTGTCATTATTTTATGTAAGAATAATGAAATGATTGTCAAATCTTTCTTTTTGTGTGTGTGGTGGGAGGGAGGTGATAAAGTCTGATCAACAAGTTCTTTCTGGGTAGTTTGAATGGATGTATAGGTATTTTATTTATTTTATGCTTATGTTGAAACCAGAGGGATGTTTTGCATGTTGTCATTTACTTATCCATTTAATTTAGATTAATTTGTGAAGGTGGGGCTGAAAGTTTTCCTTTTCTCCGTGATTATTTATCCCTTCCTTAAAAGACTTGTAATAATTGGCCGCCCACTTATATTTTGTGATTGTTGCTTCCAAATATTTTTATTTCTGCTTAGGTAGGATTCTGCATGATTTTATTAAGACAAAACAGTTAAATTTCTTAAAGTAGCTTTACTTTTAGTTTGAGAAGGAACTAAACATGCTGGGCAATCAAACTTATTACTTTGATAGTTAATAGGTTTTCTTCCACACCTGATTGAGCTAATTTACTGTTTAGAAAGTATCTCTAACTTAAATAATACATGTTCAAGGGGTTAAAGATACTTTCTGAGCAGTATCCTTTTTGAATGGGTGTCAAATTTTTTCAGATATATTATTTCTATTTCAGAAATTCAATTTTAACTTTGATTTTCTGATTTTTAAAAAGATTTCGAACTTTTTTTTTTTTTTTTTTAAACTTGTGGTCTATTTTCTCTTTCTTAACTATATACCATTAAGGATATTTAAACTAAATTTATATTCTCATTCAGCAGAAGAATATACCTTGCTAGTACTTGCACTAAAAAAATAAAACATGATATATGCATTAAAGAGTTTATAAGGATAAACATATGATGGGAAAAGAATTTTTTTTCCCCCCTTAATGGTTATATTGTTACATAATTCAGTAAAGATTCCTTCTCCAGGTTGTTTTTCCTCAATCAGGTGAGTATATTATCTTCTCCATACAGTCAGTGGTAATATTATTTTTCTTTTTTTTTTGTAAATGTTCAATATTTATATTTCAGTACAATCCCAAGGTGCTCCAGTCCAGACCTACCAACAGAGCCAGTAACAAAACCACTGGCAATCATAAAATGGTATGATTTATTTATAAAAACAAAATTTAATGTAATTTAATCAACTGATTAGTCATTTTAACATAGTAGTCGGGTTAATTATCACTAATCGCATTGAATACTTGAATATAATTCATTGACATAACACTAAATTAGTATTTTTTTCCCCTTTTTAGAAATCTTAAAAATTAGAATGTAAATCAATGTAAAGTTTTTACTCTCTTTTTTTTTTTCTTTCCTAATTATAAATTTTTCAAGTAATTAATGCAAAGGAAGGATTTTTTATCTGCTTTTGCTACTTTACATTCGGTGATGACTACTGTTGGCACTTTTTTATATTGATTTTTTTTTTTTTTTTTTTTTTTTCCTACTTTCAGATAAAAAGACTATGCTGAGATGTGGCTGGCTTATAATAACTATTTGAACAATACTAACTTTGCTGCTCTTTTGGCAGTAGCTGATGCAGGGGTTGCCTCCCCTTGGTCAAGGAAGAGTGCTTTCTTCCTATTCCTCCCCTAACTGACAATTTGAACAATTGAAAATCCTAGATAAAGACTAAAAAAAAAAATAAAATAAAAATAAATAAAAAATAAAATAAAAATTTAAAAAAATAAAAAAAAATAATAAAATTTAAAAAAATGGATAAAATCTGGTTTATATGGCCAGTTTTGTAGAGAATGAAATAAAATGTAAAAAAAACTCTAAATGCTGTCATGTCTTCAGTCTTGTAGTGACTGAATGATGGCCCTATCCAAAAGTTTTCTATAATTTATTTATGGAGAGAAATTCTTTTCATGGATCATTACTCGGATTACCTTTTATGGATTATTACTTAATTATTGGATTTAACCCTGTATTTCCTCTAAGTAAGTATTCTTGTTTATCTTTAGGGAGTTAAGAGGAAGATGCTTTATTTTTTTTTCTTTCCACACTCTAACTTCCACTGCAATTAGAAATATGGAGATTTAGACATTTCTTAACATCTCATTTTTTTTTTATCGTCTAAATCTTTCTTACAAATAAACTTATTTAAAATTTACTAGGAATATTCCTGAGAAGTTGTCAGTCAATTTAACTGCTTCATTTTTATCCTATTTTTAGTGATAGTTGATTTGCTAGGTTTTGCTCTGCTTTCATTTTTGAGAATTTCTTCTCTTCAATTTAATAAAAGAAACTTTTTCTGTCGTGAAATGAAAGCTCTTCCTAAAAGTCAAGGAAGCAGTGGGTTTTAAAAAAATCTTATGAAGCTGAACTTCTCTATGGTAAGTAGAATAAGAATGATTGAATAAATTTTAGTGTTTCAAGTGATAAGACATGGACACTGATAAGTATACAACATATTCCTTTCTCTTTGCCATTTATTAAAAAAACAATATATCACCTATTTATAAAAGTACATCTGAGTGAAAATTGTTATGAAGTTAGTATTTCTGAAAATGTTATTAAAACATAATTTGATAATAGAAGTATCTTTTGAAAAAAAAAAAAGTAATGAAGATATTCATATTTGCAATAATAAATACAAAAACTTAATTTCATTAAAAATTTAAAATGGAAGCTATTACTTTAAATTTCATGTCTAGTATTTCCATATTCCATGTGGCAGTTTAATTATTCCATACAGAAAGTTATTTATAAAAGTGTACTTTATTTGCAATTAAGATTTCAAGAAGGGGGTTACAGCTGTATTATATAATTTTAAATTCAAATTAACTTTTCTACTTAATTTATTTCCTACCAACTAAAGATGTGTTCAGTTGACTTGAAATTGTTCTACATTTTGTGAAGTTTACTTCTCACTGATAAATGAATTTTTTAGATGTCTGTTAAGTTGAAGCAAAATGTTCCTGAAAATTGTATATGGAATTTTATATCCATTGATTTTGTTAAAGGATAAACTTTAATAGTGCTAGCTATCAGTTAGCCAAATCATGAAATGGTCTAGCTTTCTTTTAACTCCACATTGATTAGGTATCGAGTATTTATGAAAATAGATCTGATCATTATTCTATCAGTTTTCTTTCTCTATCTTCCACTTAATACAACAATTTGAATATTTAAGTTAGAACTTACATCAAATATTCTTGCAAATTATCATTTTTCTTATCTATAATTCTTATATATATATATATATATATATATAGCATAGAAAGAAGAGTTGATAAATGTGCAAGAAATTAATTTTCTTATGCACTTAGCATGTAGCTTTAAAAGAGTAAAAAATAACAATGAAATTTTTCTCTGGAAAGAATCTTTTCTGTCTGTTGTTCTACTTAATATTTAAGTATAACATTACTGGTTTTATTCTTAATTCCTTACAAAAATTTTTGAATACAAGAAAATTAAATATATATAAAATCACCAGAAGTCAACTAACAAAAAATATCAGGTACATGAGGATATGTAAACTGTATATATTGGTGAAAATAAACTTGCGCCCCTTTTTTTTTTTTTTTTTTTTTTTTTTTTTAAGAAAAGAAACAAAAAAAAATAAAATTAAAACTAATATTTAGTTTTACGCTTGTTCATGAAAGGTGACTTCTGTTGCTACATTTGTTAGCATATTACAGACAAATATATATTGATTTTTGGCTACTAAAGTATTTTACTGATTATGTATACTGTTACTGGTTTTTTTTTTTTGTTTTTTTTTTCTTCATAAAATTTTTAAATCCAAATTTTCAGCGTAAAATTTCAGAGTAAAATCTGAAGTTCGATATAAGTGATATAATTCAAAGCCTAATTATCATATTTTCCTTAATAGCTTACATAAATAACTATTCTGAACTCTTCATGAAAGAATTTTCCCTTTCAATTGAAGTAGCAGTTTGCTATGCTCCATTAGAATTACTCTCTTCTAGCCTTTTAAAAAAATTTAACATCATTTTTACTGTATTAAGAATTTGAAATTTCATGTGTGTGCACATATATACACACACTTGAGTATTTGTAAGACTACCTTTGATTGATTGCTAACACTAGCAATATCTTGAATTTTGAAAATTGCCATGGAATTTTGTTCATTCGCATCATTAGTTGCGTCCATTGTTCTCAGAAGTCATCAACCATTTGATCATTTTTTTCTTTTTTCTTAATAAAAGAGAAAAGAAAAACTGATTGTTTTTTGCCTTTGGTATATCAATGTTTCTTTATTTCTCTTTTTAAGATTTCAGTGGTATTACTAAGTTACTATATTTAAAGCTTTTAAATAATATTCCAGTTTGACTTTCAAATCACAAGTTGTTTTGAGCAATAAAATCAAAAATTTATTCTATAATTGCTTACAACTGCAATTTTGTTAGTTTTTGGATATGACAGACTTTATATTGTTGTCTATCTGGCAGTTTTAGTTTTATTTTTCAGACTAGGATAATAAATTTCTATTTTTATAGTACAGTAAACAACCCCCTTGCCTTTGCCAGGTAGCTTGGATTAAACAAGTAAGCAATAGAAAACCATGTATGTTTGGACAGGTGTTAAACTTGGAAGAAAGTATTAAACATTCCCATTCTAGATAAATGTTTATCATCATTGCCCACTCCTGCCCAGACAAAGATGATTTTGGTTGATACAAGGGTCACATGTCCTTCAGTAGATTGCAGTTTCTCTAAGTTGAATATACCTTGTTGACATCTGATGAAGCAGAAGACATGGTAATGAAAGCTTGCAATATAGGGATGAGATTTTTTGTTGTAGAATTTCATCTTTTAGATGATAGGTTGCCATTCAAGCTTGACTAAAACTTACCCTCCGCTGAAAATATTTTCGTTTTGATTTAAATTTGAACAAGGGAATGACTCCTATCCAAAATATAGAAGAAACCCACATCAGCAAGATCAAAATGAAATAATATGGATGTCAAGTTGAGCAAGAAATCACCAACCAGTGGGTAGTGCTTTATAATAGATATTTGTTGCAACAATTCAACTGTCGTATCAATGTTGAAATCTGCTCATCAATTTGTTCAATCAAGTATTGAATCAAATACATATCAAAGGGGGTCAGATCAAGCTGTTTTTGCACACACACTGCACACTGAAATTTTACCTTTTTGATTTAAATTTGAACAAGGGAATGACTCCTATCTAAAACATGGAGGCAATATTGGCAAGATCATTGAGTAATATTGAAATGCACCATTTTTCTCCATGAATTTATCACAATGATTTAAAATCTGTCATCATTTTTTTTACACAAAAAAACAAAACAAAAATGTGACACACAGCAAGGCACAGCTAGTGTGTGTGTTTTGTTTTGATTTTCAACCATAGCATTTATTTTTTCTATACTGGATATATCTGTAAAAAATAATTAAGGAATATGACATGAGTGCCATTTTTTATATAATTTTTAAGTACCCAGTAATCTTAAAGATTTATGAAAATATTCACCATAATCTAATCTTTTATTGAATTTTAGACATTTTGATGATTTTGAATTTACTATAATTGTCATGAAACAGTAGTAATTGACAAAATCTTTTGCAAAAAAATTACAAACAAATCTGCTAGTTACAAAAAGGTAAACAACATTCAGTTAAGGGCTCCAGATTAACCTTTTCTTTCTTTTTTTTTTTTTTTTTTTTACCATAAACCCAGAACCACCCCCAAAAAAAACAACTTTAATTGGTCTGAAAAGTTTTCAACCATCCTAAAAACAAAAAAAAAATTTTTTTTTTTTTTTTTAGCTTTACCATTTACAGTTGTTAGGAGCATAAAAAAAAAACTCCATTAAAATGCTTATGAAAAAAAGAAAAAGAAAAATAGTTTCAACAATGAATAAAAACAAATTGCTTAGATTTTATTGTAATTTTATAAAACTCACTTTTTATTTAAACATGGTTAAATCATCTTGAACACATGGAAATGTTCTTATTTATTTATTTTATTATTTTTTTTTTAGGACATAAAATCTGTACACATGAGAGTAACACCTGTGAATACAATAAAACACTATACACCTGGGCTCCAAATGAATTTTATTCAAACCTCCCCATTCTCTGTTAAGATTTGGATTATTACCTTCAATATCATTTAAATGTCATTAGCAAATATTCCATGAATATAAAAGGATTAACTCTTATAGTAATATTCTAAATAATTATCCATCCTGATATTTAAAATATAGAATAGGTGAATGAGCCACAGAAATACCAACTGTATAGCTACAGTAAGTATACTGTATGCAAGATGAATTTGTGGACATTGCATCATGGTGTGTGTTTTTTTTTTTTTTTTTTTTTTTTTTTTTTTTTTTTTTTTTTTTTTTTTTTTTTTTTTTTTTTTTTTTTTTTTTTTTTTTTCTCAGTACCCTTATTAGAACAGGCCCATAACAAGAAAAGTGGATCAAAAGGGGAAAATTTTTTTTTTTTTTTTTTTTTTTTTGGTAGGGACTC